AGTGTCAACTAGCGACATCTGGTGAGTAGAAAATTATTAGCCCTCATTCTACCTTTAGGGTTCGGTTTAAAGATCTTTATTTACTCATTAAGACAAATACATGTCACTTACATGAGTACATTATACAATTTTAAATAAGTCACACAGAACAAAATAATTACAAAAAGAAAAGTGAACATAAATTAGGGTAGATTAAAATTAAGTATAAGTAGCAAGTTAGCTGCGTAGAAGCAATGTTTCACGTACTGACTATATAGGGCTGTGGTCCAAGTTATAAAATGTCTTGGTTTTTAATGTGGTCTAATAGTTTTTTTTTTTTTAATATATTGAGCGAACTTTTACATTTGAAGGGAGTTTATTATACATCTGTGCTCCTGCAAATGTTACGGCATTTCTTCCAAAGTTCGTGCGAATATTTGGTAATACAAGATGATTTGCGCGGCGTGATGAGTATTTTAGTGTTTTTCCTTTTGTGGTGAACGTTATATTTGAATGGATCATATTACGCGTGATTTTATATATTAATATACAAGTGTTAAAGATTTATAATTCTTTAATGTTTAAGAATTTTGTTTCATGGTATATTTTTTAGTCGATGTTAAAAAGTCGTAATGATGTAAAATTTTAATTAATTTATTTTGCAGTATATGTAGCTTTTGGAGATAAGTTTTGCCTGCTGTACCCCATATCTCTATTAAGTAAAGTAAGTGTGGTTTAACCAACGCGATATAGATCAAAGGGCGAGGTTTTTGCTGGTATACATCGAGCCATACCGTATGTAGAACCTATTAGAGATGAAAGCTTATTTTTTATAACTGATAAATGACCATTCCATGACAGATGTTTATCAAGAAATAGTCCAAGGTATTTTTCTTGATTAGATTGGCGTAGCATTTCTCCATTAATGTGTAATTTTGTGTGGTGTTGGATTTTTTTTGTTTTTTGCACTAAATATTACGTAAGATGTTTTGGCAGTATTTATTGTTAATAGGCTGTACTGAAACCATCTGTATAGTGTGTCAAGATCTTGTTGAGCAAGCAAACGTCTGCATACAAAGTGAGATGGCCGCGTAACCCTACTTCACAAATATTGTTAACATACATTAAAAACAATAGCGGACCAAGAATTGAACCTTGTGGTATTCCACAGTTTATAGGTAAGGGACTGCTTTAATAATTTTCAATCCTTACAACCTGGTATCTATTTTCAAGGTAAGATTTTAATATCTGGAGTGCCGTGTCTGTTATACCAATACTTTCTAACTTTTTTAGTAGCAACGAGCGACTCACTGTGTCAAAGGCCTTTTTTAAGTCAATAATAATAAATAAACCCAGTGCTAGCTGGTTTTGGTCTATTTTAGTTTTTATTTTAGTAGTTAAGTCAATAGCTGCACTAAGAGTACTCGATTTTGAACGGAAGTCAAATTGTTCATCACACAAAAAATTTATTTCAGTTAAGTGGTCATTCAGTCGTTTGTAAATTACTTTCTCCAGGATTTTTTAAAGCACTGGCAAAACTGACACAGGCCGATAGTTTCCTGGATCCGTCTTTATACCAGATTTATAGATCGGATTGACCTTAGCTACTTTAAGACTATCTGGGAATATACCTTGTACCAGTAATTTATTAAGACAGCCAGTGAGATTGGGAATAATTAGATTTTTTACACACTTTATTGATTTTGTACTAATGGAGTCAATCCCTGTAGTAGTGTTAGCTTCCAGACCATCGACATTATTAGCTATCTCATTTTTATCACATTGTGTGAAGACTGACATTTGATTTGGATTGTATCAGATTTTAGTTTTGGCAATGTGTGTGTATCGTTGTTATGATAATGGGACGGTATTTTGTTTGAAGGTTGCGTACCAATATTTGAGAAAAACTTATTGAATAACTTACAAACAGCTACAGGATCTTTAATGACTTGGCCGTTATCCGTTTTAAGATTTGGGGGAGCACAGCTTACAATAAGTTTATTCTTAGAAAGTGTATTTATCAGTTTCCACATCTTTTTAGGTTTACTTATAAATTTTTCTAACTCTCTGTAGTAATATCTGCTCTTTGAAGTATTGATAAGTCACGCCACTTTTGTCTTTTCATCAATATATTCTGATTTTAGTTCGTTATTCTCTGGGGTCTTGCTTTAGTTTATACGACAATTGATTCCTTTTTTTTTTAATCCCCACTATGATTTTTTTACTAATCCATTCTTTCTGAGGTAGATTGCCAATTTTACATTTTATTTCTTTACTTTCTGATATTTTTTTTTCTTTATAAATTCTCCTAGAATGCCAAAATTACAGTCATGATTTTGGAGCTTATGATCTCTAGTTCGCTTATATAAAATTTCATAGTTAACAGCTTCATATCGTACCTTTTGCATTTGTGGTGGTTTTACTTTTTTCATTTCAATGTAGATATTTTTATGGTCTGAAAATGAAGATTCAATGATAGCCATATGAAATTTTTGGTTGTTGAGATTTATAGCAACATGATCTATAATCGTTCTCGACGTTGGTGACACACGAGTGCTGTGTAGTACTTCAATTTTGTTAATTAATTTGATACCAGTTTCCTTCAGTAGATCATTATACAACGTAGTCTTAGTATCGGATACCAAAAGATCTATATTTGTATCGCCAAAGACAATTGCTCTTTTTTTTTTGCTGTAGTTGCAGTTGATATGTGTTGAGAAAATTGTTAAGATTCGTGTGACCTGGTTTGTACACAATTCCTACACCAAGTGCATATTTTTCGAGATGTATCCACAAGTAGTTGTTTCCGCCAGTGTAAGATTCCATACATAGGTCATGCTTTAGATTATTATGCACAAAGATAGATACTCCGCCTCCAATTACATCGGATCGAATGTTGTAGTAGTGTGAATAGTTCGTTATTTGAAAACATGCCACTTGGTTATCTGATCTTATCCAGGTCTCAGTCAGTAATATTATATGTATGGTTTTATTAAAAGCTTCGATAATGCATATGAGTTCATCAAATTTATCTGGTTTACAAATACTTCTGGCATTAGCATAAAATAAATTAAGGTTAGATTTATTAGAGGTGACGTTTTGATAACAATCAACTACTTGGTATGAAATATCTTCTATATCTTGATTATTTAATCGTTGTTGGTAGAGGAGCTCTTGTCGTTTTTTGATTCCAATTTAATGATTTTGGGTATTCCTCTGATGTACTTAATTGTGATATCATTCTCATGGTTAAATACTCTCCGTGCTAGTTCTTCTTTCAAATTTTGTAAATATTTCTGTTGAGCTAGAGTTTAATATTGCCTTGCAGTTTTCCCCTGTTACGTAACAGCATTTTGACTGTTTCTGAAGACCCAAAGCAGACTTTTATGTTGCGAATCTTGAGTGCGTTAAGCTTGCCTATGTGGAATATTTTAACAGGTTTAAGGCAATCTACGATCAAATTCCTGATTATAGCAACTACTTCTGTCATATCATGGGAATAGGCTTCATTTGTGTTTGCGTCTTTGTACTCTCTTACACCAACAACAACAATATTTTTTTCTCGAACCATACGTTCTCTCATTTCTTGCATTATTTTTTCTTCATTGTTCGTATCTGTATTAAATTCTTAGATTTTCGCCATTTCCGTTTCCAGTTTAAGAATGCTGGTATCAGAGTTATCAGCTTTTTTAATCAAATTTGAAACTTGGGTAAAATCCCAGTACATTCTGTTCATTGCTAAGTTTATCCGTAGATAATTTTATTTCATTTAGTTTAGAATTAACTTCCGCTAAATTATTACGCATGAAATCTAATGTTTCTTCCTGTGCCTTTGTGAATTTGGTCAGTAATGACGTAATTTCCTTTCGAAACTCTTGTATCTCTTGGGTACAGTTGCAGTTTGGTTCAGGCTGTTTGAGTTTTCGGTAGGTAATTAGGTCCTCCACAGCAGACTCATTTCTTGTTAGATCTGTAAGCGAGCCGCTCAATCTGGGTGCTGACCGCTGTACGCTCATGACTTAGACCACACACCGTACTTCGATGTCACGAACGTGGGCACACTTCGGATGCGTTCGCACTGATGTGAAGGCAAGTGAACAGGATAGAAATATATATCTGTGCTCCTTACCCGAACTGTTGAGGAGGACAGCTAACTGATGTAACTTGTCAAGTGGTTAACGAAACGTCACAACAAACAGTGGACTCCCAGTTGCAAATTTATCTTTGTCACTATTCAGTTATGTTCAGTTTAGAAAAGTATGTTAATTACAATTTTATTGGTGAAATAAATGCACGTCTGCTCTGTGTGACTGATATCGAGAGCGTCCGCCGGGTTTATTTTCCGTAGGGTTCTGTGGATACAAGATATTTAAGAAAAATGCGTAGTATCCACTAAGTCACAGGTATAAGACAGTTACTATACTCCTTGGTCACAGACTACCTTTTAAACCAGGATTTTAGCGGAAACTAGACTGGCGCCGGATTGCTGCTTCTGTATTATTGTTTAAATAATGGTTTGAAGTGGATTTTGATATGTAAAAGTAGTACAATTTTGTGTATTAAGTGTCTGCGCATGTGAACTATTAATGGAAACGGTGAAACAAGTGCTTTGATGGTGATGTGATTCTCATGATAAGGTGTGTGTCTGCTTAGTCGCCTTGAGATACCATCGCCAACTGTCGGCTGTCTACTGGCTCAAGTTGCCGTCAATATCTCCCAAGAGCTGCACAATGTGACGCATTAACATATTGTGAAGCAGTGAATTATGGAGGATAATTATACATTGTAACTTCGGGCTCAGAAGGGCTAGAACCCAGAGCCGTAATGCCAGTTAAAAAAAACTGCAATGCAATGTGTGTGCAAGAAAAAGAAAATAAAGTTAAAGCCCATGAATAAGTATAGTGGTGGTGTAATTTGTAAATAAAGTATATCTAGCAAACCATAGGTTTTGTGTTTAACTTTTATGTATTATAATTTGCCTAGAACTTAGATAGGTTATTAAATAATACTAGAAATTGGAAATGTCGAATTGGGTTGGTTATGCTGTTTCTGTTAATTGTGGCGAGCCACTTGGATGTTATCAGGGGACAATCCTAGAAACCGATGGCAGTACTATAACCCTTACTAAAGCCTTCAGAAACGGATTTCCGTATCCTAAATCTCAGGTCACTCTCAAGTAAGGTGTTCAATTTAAATTTTAATGATTTATTAATATTTGATAATTATTTTACTAATGGTGTAAACATTTACAGCGCTGCTGACATAAAGGATTTGAAAATAATAGAGGAGTCACGACCAGAACCAGTAAAACAAACTCACAGCACAGTAGCAGTCACCAAGAGTAATAAAAAAGGGCAACGTGCTACGGTGTGTGAGAACTTACAAGCCAATCCATCTAATGTAACTAGTGCAGGTGAATTTTGGATTTACAAAATCTTTACACTTTGACTTTTATTGTTGCTGATACATTTTATGTCCATTGCTTATCCTTAAACATTTATGTTTGCCATGATCACAACTAGGAACAGGCAAAGTAAAAGTGCCAGTACATTTGTCAGCAAAGCCAAAATCTTATCAAACTATTAGCACCCCATGTTTAATAATCTATACTTTAATATGATAAAGCAAAAGTTTTTTATTTGTTTAAGCAGGCTAATCTCTTTAACCACTAGTCCGATTTGAAAAATTGTTTTTGCATATGATACCCAGTTTCATGAGGAATAGTATCAGTTATTAGGCGTAAATGTATATTAGCTACACTTCTCAGCTAGCCTTAAATATTGATTTTTTTTAAGTCTGAAGTAAAAGTGCTCCCAAACTGCTTTATCCGTGTGAGTTGGTGTAATAATTAGTGATATGTAAATACATTGTTCTACAAAAATATTGACCTTTACTCCACTTAAAAAAGTCGGCGATACACAATAAGGTACTTTGTGACAACAAATTCTTGAAAATTAAAAAGTGATATATGAGTGTTGTTATAAGGCATGGCATATTAATCCTTAAGAACGAGTTACTTCGTCATTAACACAATTTTATGAAGATAAATTTTGCTCTTTATAGCATGTCATTTGAACGTATATTTTAAGAGATAATGAAAAATTTTAATAATTCAACACTGCTTGGTGCGTAAACGACGCATAATCCTAGTCCATTGATGAGAAGCGAGAGAAAACAGCAGTGAACGCCTAAATATGTAAGGTGTCATTTTCACAGCTCTGAAGTGTGATATATGTGAGTGAAACCGTGGGGCACAGCTAGTTTCATATAGTTTTGTCATGCCTGCAGAACTCTAAAATTAAGTACTATCTCTAGTTGAGCTAGCTTAGCACAAGGTGTGCCTGAGCTTTATTACTACTAGCTTTATATTTGATATCTAAAATCATCTTAATTGAATAAATAAAATTAAATCCCTGTACTTAAAAACTGATAATTGTTTTAGATAATATGTTAATATGCCTAATATTTATTTACACATCACATCACCATCACATTGCATAGAATATCCATTATTTTTTTCTTAATGCATAATTCTCTATTGTTTCAGTTAATAATCAGCAAATTATAAGTAATGTGAATCAAACACATGCTTCAAAACCTGTTACCTCCACAAGAAGTACTGGTCAGGGGCCAACACGAAGCAAGCCTATTGATATCCAATCCTTGAAGATCAATAAAAATAATAATCATGCAGGTGATAATAAAATTTATTTAATGCACCTGATCTCTCTGGTCATTTTAGATTTCCATCCCATTGGATGATACAAGTATAGATGCACTGTCAATTCCCTTTCTATTCATGGAATAGACAGTGCATCTGTACTTGTGCACACACTTGCGCAGTATAACCTTGCTCAGCACAGATCTCTAGTCTCCATGGAGACTGGCTGCTATGATATTAATGTAATATTTTAGTATTCTCTCAAGTGTCTTGTAAGCTTGTTTTCGTTCAAAGATATCAACAGTGTTAGAGATAAAACAGTACTAGTGTACATGCAAACCATACACAGTGTAATGATTATAGCTAAAATAGGCTGTGATCACAACAAGACTGAATTGAGAATCAATAAAGAGAACCTAGAATTAGCATAGTATAGCTAACAGATACATAGAAACCGAACAATAGGCAATGCAATCATTAATTATTATAGGGTGCCAGACTGGCAGTTGGGGCGCTGGTGGTGTGGGGGGAGTGGGGGGCTCGACGCCCGGCGGGAGGGGGCGCGGCACTGCGCAGGAGAAGGCGCGGCGTCGCAACGAGGCGTGCTTCGGCGATGCTGCAGAACCTGCGCTGCTCGACGATTTTGACTTCGAGGGCAACCTCGCACTCTTCGACAAGCAGGTAAGTGCACTATATTCTTGTATTTCTCTGCATTTTTTTTAAAACTATATAGACAAAGTTAAAACTACTTGGAAAATGATTAATAAAGAAATCGGGAATAATATAAAAATCAAAATTAATTTAAAAATTAACAACTAACTAAAAAACATTACCTTTACATTAGGTTTTTCTCCTGTATCATGTGAGCAGTTTACATACATAAATTTCACAAGGACAAACATTCCTGACGTGACCAGACCTGTAATAATTATTTGTAGATCATACAAATATTTATTCCGTGGGGGAATGGATCCGCGTCCCTCAACGCCGCAAATCATTGCTAAGCTATTGCACCACAGAGCCGTGAAATTATGTATAATATATACATTACTGATTATGTAGTAGTATACATAGAAGTCTATTAAAAATATATTGTGTGAATATGATCATTTAGGTTGAGTTGTTAAGAAGTTATATTATCACTAACAGAGGCACCAACTATTGAATAGGAATATTTTCGCTTTTTGTTAATAAAATGCAGTAATATTAACTTCATTCCCAATTTCAAGACAAAGAGAAGTACACATTTTTGTACTTCTCTTGCGATTATGTATTATACTACGTGTTCATTTCGAGTTTGCCGTCTATGTCTATGTATATGGTGGAAGCTAAAAGAACCATAACAAAATGGTTACTTACTAATCTATCATTAATTTACGTAAATAAAATATATGAATACAGTATATAATATCCATATGTATCTATAGGAGTTTCTAATTTATATGTTTTATTAATTATTTTAATATTTATGAATAACAGTATTTTCTTTACTAACTATTTGTTATTTTACCTCTAATTATTTTTATATAACTATATTAACTTAATATAAATATTTATTTTATTTTAAAAACAAAAAGCTTACATAATGTAATAACCGTACGTTGACCCAGTGTAAATTTATGAAAGCCACGTGTGATAAGAAAATCGTATCAGTCCCTCACGACAGGCATGCCTAGTGTGAGGACTGCAGAACTATACACCCTTTTTTATACACTCCAGGTTAGTTGGTGTGATAAGATCATAGTTTATAATTGTATACTAGAGAATTAAGACTACTGTACTTCAATTTTCTGCCGACTTCCAAAAAGGAGACGGTACTCAATTCGACTGTATGCTGTTTTTTATGTGTGTTACCTCATAACTTTTTACTGGGTGAACCGATTTGGATGATTCTTTTTTTATTTGAAAGCTGGTACTTCTCGAGTGGTCCCATATGAATTTGATCAAGGTCAGACCAATAGTTTTTGAGTTATTCTTAATAACTCTTATTGAAGTCGGCTATACAAAATTTTTAATTTTAAATGATATTATCTTATATTGTATATTATAATCTGTACCACCTTAGCTGTAAATAAACATTTTTTATTTTTTTTATTTTCATGACGTCACAGCTGACAGTACCGTAGACAAAACTATTATTGTAAGTGTTTAATTGTAAGAAGTTCTATTTTTAGTTTGTTGCCTTATTGTCAGTTATTAACTTATTAATAATTTTCCCTGGAGAGCAGCAAGTAGATAAAATGCATATTATTGAATAATTTATTTAATTAGTAAAGTAAAATAATAACACTGAATAGAAACGTGTCCGATAAAATAAAATATTTTTAATGTAGTTTTATCATACATTTTAAATTAATTATTTACGAAGGCGCGAACAAAAAGTGGTAGGTAGATATTTACGCATTCATAACTTCGATACCAGTTATTTTATCGAAATCGTTCGTTTCTGTGTCACTGCCACCACTCCATTCTGTGTTTATCACAAATTAACGAACGTAAAAAGTCAACAGTAACAAACTAGAGATCGCACGGAAGTACTAACAACGGGCGTAGATATATTTCAGCCTTGCTATCGGTACTATAAAGCTGCGTATCGATTTCATTGTTTGCCTGCGGCAAACCTGTGTTTTGGCACGCGAGCCAATTTTAGCGCACAATTTAACTACAGGGAGGCAGCCGCGCGCGGCATCCAATCCGCCAACGAACGTTCATGTTGTCCTTGGTAACCATGGACGTTGTATGTCGGCGAAGTGCAGCGGCTGCTTTTGTAATTATTTATCATATTATTCAAAGAGATCGCAGCGGAATGTTCGTTGGTGGATGAAAAAAATATATATGAACAGACTGCTACATGGTAGTGTGAGACTAATGGAAGACATGAGATACTGTTGACGAAACACAAAAAATATTCACAAGAATGACAACAGATCATTTATACCATGTTTAGTACCATACAACCTAATTAAAGTACGACACTTGTCGTTATCTATGTTTTTCCCGTGCGCGCCAACTAAAATACGCAAACGACCGTCCCAACTGCGCGAGCACAACTCACTGAGATTCTTTTGCCGCGTCGTCAAAAACCGACACGGATTGGTTCGTCGCGCGGCACGTTCGAGCGCGCCAATGTTCAAATTGCTGCTCGCGGCAACATAGTATCCACTGTGCGCGGATGCCGCGCGAGCCAATGTTCGATTTTTAGCCGCGCGAAGTCGATACGCAGCTTAAGGGCGACGCTTGAGGCGCAGTATGAGGTAACGGCATTCATGAAATGAACACGTAGTATAAACCGTACTGTCCGTGTATACCAATACATAATATAAGTGTTGTATATAACGTAGTGGTAGTTCAATATGCCTCAAGTGTTGATGTATACGTGTGCGCGGTGCAGGCGCTGTGGGAGCAGATGCGCAACGAGACGCGGCCGGATGTGGTGCGCGGCGCGGAGGAGGCTGGCGGGGGTGGGGGCGGGGGCGGGGGCGGCGCGCAGCTGCGCCACGACGAGAGCGTGCTGGGCGCGGCGCCGGCGGCTCCGCGCGCGCTGTGGCTGCCGGACGAGCTGCGCGGTCCGCTCGACTACCGCACGGACGACGGCGTGCTGCTGCCCAGCGCCACCAGTGCGCTGCGCCGCAGACTGTGGACCGCTTTACGCGAGAGCTCTCCCGCCGGTACGTCATCCCTCATTTGTTGCACGCCCTCCTTACATATAAATACGAATGTGAACACGTCCGTACAAAATTAATAGTCCCATTAATTTTTGAGCAAAAATATGGAGTGAGACGCCGAGACTTTGTTGTTTGCAACGCAGGTTACAGTCCACTGGCTCTAACATTCTTAGTCTGAACAAAATCCGTGTGGCCCACACTACCACACGGATTTTGTTTGCGGTGTCTGATGTAGTACATTGTACGTAGTACCTATTTACTTTAATGTATATTAGATACGATTCTGAAGCGTGAGAATTGATACTTCTTGAAATAGTTATAGAGCATAATATTAGCTCGGAAAAAATTGAAAACACAAACATGAAATACTGAATAAAATTCTTAATCGAAAGGATTTTAAAAATATTTTATAATAATCCAAATAATAGTGGTTGCTTTGCATTTGACTACCTTTTTTCTCTCTCTAGGGGGGAAGGTGCAGCTGCCCTTCCTTGCCCCCCCCCCCTCTCCCCTTGGCGATGCGCTTGACGTATATAAATCCTTTACTTCTTGGGACATGTTGTTAATGTTATGTACTGTGATGTTTTAAAAGTGATAAGTGAGAGAGACGTGTTGGTGATACCTAATTCTTTAATTATACTGATTAAGAGTACATGTTTTTCTTACACTACTAGTAGGGTGGAGGCACATACACTACAGTACTACTACCACTAATACAATAAAGCACAGATTACATTTACACAGCTCGCGAGTTTCCGTTAACTTAAAAATTATATTTTTTTATTTACCTGTTTACATCCAACTAATTGTAAATAATTTTATGGTTCTTGTCAAAACAGAAAAAAAAGTCGAATCTCGATTTTCTATAGTGAGATATCGATACACTGAATCGGTTCGGTACTATATATCGAATAAAAAAACCGATTCTGTGATTACTCGATATTAGATCGCCATGCCTATTTATGACTTACGTTGTATAATGTAAGTGCTAAGTAGTGTTGTGCGTAGCGTAGCGGCCCTGTGCGCGCACGTGCTGCTGGCGCGCGCGTGCGCCGACGTGGCGCTGCGGCTGGTGGGCGGCGGGCGGCGGCTGGACGCGCGCAACGCGCACCAGGCGCCCGTGTGCGTGGCGCTGGCGGGCGCGCACCGCATCGGCGCCGCGGCAGTGCTCTGTGCGCGCCTGCTGCACGCACACGCGGCGCGCGCGCACGTGCTGCCCGCAGGTACGTGCACCGTGCAGTGCAGTACAGTACGTGTGCGTGGCGCTGGCGGGCGCGCACCGCATCGGCGCCGCGGCAGTGCTCTGTGCGCGCCTGCTGCACGCACACGCGGCGCGCGCGCACGTGCTGCCCGCAGGTACGTGCACCGTGCAGTGCAGTACAGTACGTGTGCGTGGCGCTGGCGGGCGCGCACCGCACCGGCGCCGCGGCAGTGCTCTGTGCGCGCCTGCTGCACGCACACGCGGCGCGCGCGCACGTGCTGCCCGCAGGTACGTGCACCGTGCAGTGCAGTACAGTACGTGTGCGTGGCGCTGGCGGGCGCGCACCGCACCGGCGCCGCGGCAGTGCTCTGTGCGCGCCTGCTGCACGCACACGCGGCGCGCGCGCACGTGCTGCCCGCAGGTACGTGCACCGTGCAGTGCAGTACACCGTGCAGTACAGTTACTTTTTTTGAGTGTACCCGAAAAATTATAAATTTTTTTGAGAAGTGGCAGAAGCGTGGTATGGGCATATTACGCGAAGGGAAGTAAACCAGGTAAAATAAATGTTGGCTATAAAAATGAATGGATATAACTTTATTAGGGATGATATGTGTAAAACCCAAATAACTTGAAATAAGGATAAGAAGAAGAAAAATAATCTATTGGTGAAAAGTTATCAGCTATTGTAATTTTTTAATGTATAGCAGTAGTTTTCTACAACTTAAATAAAATATTGAATTCTCAGGAGATGCCGTAGCCGCAGGGAACTGCTCACTGCTTCAGAGGGAATTGGCCGAGTTTAAGCTGAGCGGCGGTAAGGTGGCGAGCTGTACGGAGGCGTTGCCCAGTCCTGATCTGGTGATCATCGGGCTGCACGACCCGCAAGAGCCACATGATCCCGAGCAGTACGAGTGAGTACTCCGCAGTCTCATTGCAGCCACACACCCGAGCAGTACGAGTGGGTACTGCATAGTCATACACACCCGAGCAGTACGAGTCAGTCTTGTAGCCACACACATCCGTGCAGTACAAGTGAGTACTCCGCAGTCTCGTAGCAGTCACACACCCGAGCAGTACGAGTCAGTCTCGCAGCCACACACATCCGTGCAGTACAAGATAGTCCTCCGCATTCTCGTTGTAATGTCTGCTATCTTCTCTAACCACTATAGTGTAACACAGGCTCGGCACGCACTTTTACTAAACAAGACGTCCACTCTCGCCCGAGGCTCTCGTGTAACTGACGCGGTGCGCTCGAGACAGTGACTTATATATAAATGTATGTTTGTGTATTTGTGCATGGTAAATTATTAGTAAATAACACAAATAACAATATTTACTGTATACTACATATATGCAAACACTACATCTCTTTCTTATCAAGATTTTTTTCTTTTTTTCATTATAACTCATAACAATCACAAAGCAGCTTGTATTGTCTGTATTAATTATTTTCCACTGCTTTTACGTAAACCTTATCCCCTGTATTACATCTGAGTGAGTTGCTCTCCGTTTCCTATATACATACTCTTTTCCTTTTCCTTTTTTGTATTTTGTCTCTATCCCTGATATCTGAATCTAAATGATTGTCTGTAATTTATTTCACCTATTGATGGAATTTTATCCCTACTTTTTCGTTGAAAAAACAGTTCAGACGGTAACCTCCCGGTAACTGTAAGGAGGGGTGCTGTTATACATAAGAAGATACTGATACGAAGACGTTTCAAATATCTCTGTTTTGTCTTTCAACTTCGCCGATCATTTGAGGCCAATATAGTACAGTACTAAATAACTTAATGTTACATTCTTTGCAGAAGGATCGAAACTCTTCACTTACGAACTGCTTGCCATTGTCTGCGGTAATAGAAATAGGATAACCAAGTCTACTGAACATTTCTTTTACCATTTTAATAATCTGTAAGCTTGTGATGTTTTTGTAATTGTTTACTTCTTTGTATCGACTATAGTAGTCGACCACTACTAACAGATACTCGTTACTTGGCAACGGTCCCATTAGATCCATTGTGACATCTATCCATGGAGCTGCAGGCAACTCTCGTCTCTTCATTGGTGCAGTTGGGTTTGGCAAACCCACTAACGTACAACCTTTACAAGCCTTTACTAATTGTTCTACGTCTTTATCGATACGGGGCCACCATACCTTTGATCTCCAGCGTCCCTTCATCGCTACGATACCTGGATTACCCTCGTATGCAGCATCTAATACACTCTTGCAGAGTTGCTTTGGTATTACAATTTTATTTCCACGAAGTAGAATGCTATCATGGAAACACAACTCGTTTTCAAAAAATTTTGTAACTCTTAATCGAATCGTCTTAGTCGTTTTGATAGACACCTTTTTTCACTTTGTAATTCTCTTGTTATTTTTCTGAATATGCTGCAATGGAACTCTTTGGTATAGCAACTGGTCTAGAATTTTCCACTATTTGGTACACATGCTGGTCTTTTCCTTTTGGTGGGTTATCAGGATAGTTACATAATCGTAACAAGGGATCAGCTATATTTGTTTTTCCTGGCTTGTATATAACCTTGAATGAATAAAACTGTAGCCTCAGTATCCATCGTTCAATCCTCGCACATGGTTTTGACTTAGACCCGAACAATATCTCTAGCGGCTTGTGGTCAGTGACTAAATCAAAAGGCTTTCCAAATAAAAATATTAAAATGTTCGACCCCCCAAACTAATGCTAGTGCCTCTTTTTCCGTTTGGCTATACCTGCGCTCGCAGTCTGTCAAAGTTCGATTACCATAGGCAATAATTCTAGGGCCATTTGTATCATTTTGTACAAGGACAGCACCAAGTCCGACAGGGCTAGCATCTGCTATCACCTGTCTTGCATCTCTGACGTCATAATACCCTAAAATCTGTATTTCCGTGAGCATCGGTTTGAGTTTTTGGAATGCTTTATCTTGTTCCCCAGACCATTGTTTTTCCAAGCTCTCCCTTTTGCTCATCTTCTGTCTTAACAGGTGCTTCAGAAGTTCTGTCATAGCGGCCATGTTAGGTATCCATTTGTTTATGTAGTTAAGGAGTCCTAAAAAACTTTGGAGTTCTTCTATGGTCTTTGTGACCCTAAATTAAAGGTTTGTACTTGTTGAAGGGTTTATTTACTCCTTCATGTGTAAGCCTGTGTCCCAGAAAATTCACATCCTGCGTTTTATATATGCATTTATTGCTATTCAGCACGGCGTTGTTTTTACTAAGTACCTGTAGAACTTTCTTTAGTCATGCGTCATGTTCTTCTTCACTGTTCCCGAATACCAGGATATCACAATAAAATTGACGACCCCTTCACAGTTTATCAGTATCCTTTTAATGATCTTCTGAAAAATCTCGGAAACGCAGGTAATTCCAAGCATTATTCTTTTATATCTATATAATCTTTTGGGGGTTATAAAAGTCGTTATGTGTCTGGATTCAGAGTGAATTTCCACTTCATGGAAGGCATTTTTTTATGTCTTAATTTGTTAAAATATTTAGCTTTCTTCATTTTAGGCAAAAATGGTCCATAGTAGGCAGGGGGTGGTTTTCTTGCAATATAACGGCGTTCGTACATCTCATATCTACGCACAAACGTAATTCACCATTTTCTTTCATGATTGGAACATTGGTGAAACCCATTTAGACGGGCCTTGCACTTCTTCAATTATATCACTGTTTAGTGATTCCTTAATTTTGATTGCAACCTTCTCTTTAAAGGGGATCGGCTTGCTTTTACTCTCCACTTGATTTATCCCGATACCAAGTTTTAAGACACCCAGTCGGACTGCTGTGTTCTTACCAAACAGGTTTCTAGTACCCCCCGAAATCACGTAAATGGTTGTATTCCTTTCGTCCATCGACTTCGAGTATAGTTTCAAATGAACCCTCTATTGCCAAAGGAGAGTTACTACCCTATGCTAATAATGTCTTGTCTGGTCTTTACATTTGATTAAAAGCATATACTTTTTTGCTTTTTAACTCTTCCCACGTTTTGTAAGATATAAGGTTCTTGCACAATTTCGAATTACACTTTTCCACAATTTGATCTATGAAATGATCATCTTGCTTTTCAATGCACACTTTTCGGCTTGTTGACGCAATCTTATCAAAAACTTCTCAAGTGTCTCTCCTTTTTTCTGTTTTAGCAATCGAAAAACATGCCGCTCATAAACTTTGCTCCGTTTAGGTTGAAAATACTCGTAGAGTTTTTTTTTTGCTACTTAAAATACATCAACGGTTTCTTATATTTTTTTTTCCAATTTAATGCTGGTATTTTAATACCCAAAGTCCAATTTAATGGTAGTAACTTAGTACCCAAAGTCCAATTTAATGGTAGTAACTTAGTACACAAAGTCCAATTTAATGGTGGTACATACCTTAGTACCCAAAGTCCAATTTAATGGTGGTACATACCTTAGTACCCAAGTTCCAATTTAATGGTGGTACCTACCTTAGTACCCAAGTTCCAATTTAATGATGGTATCTTAGTACCCAACTCAATTTAATGATGGTATCTTAGTACCCAACTCAATTTAATGATGGTATCTTAGTACCCAACTCAATTTAATGATGGTATCTTAGTACCCAACTCAATTTAATGATGGTATCTTAGTACCCAACTCAATTTAATGATGGTATCTTAGTACCCAACTCAATTTAATGATGGTATCTTAGTACCCAACTCAATTTAATGATGGTATCTTAGTACCCAAACTCAGTTTCATGATAATAATATGTTCCATAACACTCGCCCTTCTCTTTTGGTTTATTTGTTATACCGACTACTCCCATCGCTGTGCCATTTAGGCTTTGGGTAAATTCAATACCTATATTGCGCATTTACCATTATTGATAACTTAGACAGCAATACCCTCGAGAAACGCCGTGATATAAGAGATCAAATGTTGTTGTACAAATTGCTTCATAATATCATCGACTCTCCCCTACTTTTAGGCAAGGTGAATCTTGCGTGTCACAGGTTAGGTGCACGAAATAAACCACTTTTTGCATTACCTAAAGTTAAAACAAAAAAATGCCTCAAATAATTTTGTATCTCGTACATGCAAAAAGTTTAACTTAAAATATTGTAAATATTAGATATTTTTCACCTTGAATATGATAGTTACAAATAAAATATTGTAAAACTTAATATATAATTGGTAGTATCACTTTGAGTTGTATATATAATGTTATTTTTAACTACTTACTACTTAATGTTTTAATTTATGAATACCATTTAGCTTGTTTTATTCTTTTATATTTTTAATTTTATACAACATAATATTGTGGTTTGCTTTTATTATGTATTAGATATCTGTGGAAACTTCATTGGTTTTTAGGATTACTTTTAATGTTTTATTATGTAATTTATTATTGTACTGTACGTTTCCCTTAAAAAGCAAATAAATAAATAAACAGTATTACTAGTTACCTACTTTGCAATGTACAGAAGTCGTGAAGTGTCCACGATTTTTTGTAAGACATATATGCCATGAAAGCAGTAAAATAGTATTTTCATTAAAGGCGATAAATATCACACCTACATGTAAAATGCCACTAAAATTTAGCTAACGACATTGTATTTAGGTTCAAATCGAGAGGAGTGATTAGTAACATCTACTATTTTTCCATCAAAAATCTTTTAAATAAAAGTTGTACTAATAGACATATGTTAAAATAAATCATTATTTTATCATTGCTACATAAAGAAAATAAATTTTTGCACACCATAAGCGTGGTCATTTGCGAACATATAATTTATATATGTTATTAAAATGATCAGAACAGGGTTAAAAACAATAAATCATAATTCATAATCCACAGTTTTTTTCCGCGGGTACTCTAGGAATTAATTTACAATTGCAATTCTAATAGTTGCACATTGCTAACCTATTTTTGATTATATCTTTA